TGGTTGACACTAAGATTCGGGCTCTGGGTGAGGAGAAGTACTTTTACTTCTTGCGCCGCTTGCTCCAGACATGCTCCTGTCAGACCATGCAGGCCAGGTCCACCAACGGTTCCACTGTGCTTCATGCAGCTGGTTCCAAAGGCTTGTTTCAGGTTCTGAAGCTTTTGCTCTGGGGCCTCTACGACAAGGCAGGCGCTACCGAGCGGGCCTTTGGCCTTGTCAGGTCGCTTGTGAATTCTCCTGGAGGCCCGCGAAACGCCGGTGTGGTGGACGCACGCCTGAGCTGCAATGTGGAACTGGCGATGTATGTGAAGAGGTACTGGGGCGGCGTTGAGCTCTTGGACGCTCCAGTCTGGGTTTGGGACCAAGGCTACCGGCGCAGAGTGGACCCGTAGGCTTCCAGCCAAGTTTTGAGAAGGCTTGTAGTAGCGAGTTCCTGCCGTTGCCTTTCTTGAGCCTAGCCTCCGTTGGCTCTGTCAGCAGCCTCCGACTGCCAAGTCTTGAACGTCAAGTCATGCCTCATGAGTCATGGCTCATGATACTATAAGAGTTCACAAGAAAGCATGGTTTGTTTCCAAGCAGTCGGTTGTTTCTGACAGGAGTTCTTTTTGCAGGATCGCGAAGCTTTAAGCCTGAAACCTTGGCTTGTCTTCCCTTGGAAAAAGAAGCCTGCAGTAGCCTTGACATGGCCTGGTGTCCCACAGCTCCATATTTTGACGATTGTGTTTCAATACTTAAATAAGTTTCATTCATGTTCCCATACAACAACAGGCAAAGGTCACGGTATGCGGTCTAGGGTCTAAAGTTTGCACCCGAAGTGTTCATTCTCATGTCTTGGCCCTGGCAGGACAGCCAGTTCACCTATGCCTGCCTGGTTGCTGCAGCGGCAGGGAGGAGTCAGTTCAGAAGGCCTTCCAGCTCTTCAGGTCTGTGGTGCTCCGACCAGTTGTGGTGCCAGCGCTCAACAAATGGACCAAAGTGGCCCCATGCCTTTGCCATGTGTCTCTGATGCAACACACCTTCAACCTGATGCGTGATGCCTTCCAGGCTTGTTTTCCACCCTCTGCTGAAGAGAGTGCTTCTGAAGAAAATGAAGAAGCAAAGGCTCTTGGCCTGCCAATTGACCAGACTAAGATCTGGAGGAAGCTGGCACGAAAGCGAGAGCAAAAGGCCGTTCATTTCCTTGCAGACAAAGAGGCAAGTTTTTTCACCATGGCAAGTTTTTTCATCCACTACAGTCTGTTTAAGAACGCTACTTGGCTCTCTGAGCGGGTTTCGCCAGAAGAGGCTGAGCAGTTGAACCCACAGGACATTGGTCAAGAGCTTGTGGAAGGGGTCACAGGTGAGCAGGGTGAAATTGAGTTAGAGCTGGGCGATTCAAACTCAAGCAACATAGGGGCAACGACAGCTTGTTTTTTCAAATCTTCTTTGAACCCTGCTACAAGCAGCATGGGTGAACTCATGTCTGCTTTAAGCAGTCCTGACCACCCGCTCTGGGGGCCTTTGGCCGGGTTCTATGGACAGCAGAGCACTTGGGAGGATAAGTTCAAGCGTTGCTGCAGACGAACACTGTTCACAGTCATGGGACAGCTGTGGCGGAAGTTGATTGAGCCATGGAAACGCTTTCCATGGAAGCTGGCAAATATAACCGATGTGCAGGCACCCATGGATGTTCGCCAGGGCCTTGCCCAAGAACTCTTCAGTGTGAAGCCTTGTTGTTTGGATTGTTTTTCTCTCAAGTTGAGAAAGAAGTGTCCTGGGCAGCCATGAAAGGCTCCTGGATGAAGATGTGCAGGCCTTTTTGGCCGCTTTGTTTGAGCGGGCTGTGCCCGCTTCAACCTATATCGAGCGCATGTTCTCCAGGTTCTCAAAATGGTGTGAGAAGTCAGGCCCTAAACTCAATTTGTTTCAATGTGCTGCCAAGCATGTCACATCAAGGTTCAGAGACAAAGTGGCCATATGGAGGGCTAAGGCCAGGGCATCTGGGATTCTTCCACCTGCTGCCAGCAATCTTCGCAGACCTGACTGGGTTCAGCCCCTCAAAAGGGGCCGCAGTCAGACTGGATTGCACCTCTTTGCAAAGGAGCTTGGCACAGAGCAAGGCAAAGTAGGCTTTGACAAGGCAAGGGCCTTGTGGAGGCTGAAGCCTCAGAACGAGAAGGATGCCTGGTCAGTGAAGGCCAAGGCAGGCAACGCTTTGGCAGCTCAGTCCTTGGCAAGGCAGCGGAGGGCTACAGAGCCTGTTGTGGGTGGCCCTTGGTCTGTGGGAACAAGTGAGGGCTTTTGCTTGTCAGAGCATGTCATCAACTCTGTGATAGACCAGATGCCAGTGTTGGCAGAGAAGTGGAAATGTGAAAACAATAGCTTGATGGACGCACCCATTGCTTTTCAAGAAGGTTCTGAGGACAGAGCTCCCTTGTTTGCTGGCTGTCCAGCCGGGTATTGTGTCAGTGGCTTGAACGAAGCACAGCAGGATGTTTATCACGACCTGCACGACTTACTTGTTCATACGATCATGACACATGGCCCAGGCCCAAGCCAGCCTGCAGCTGAGCCTTTGGTGCTGCGGTACTCATCAGTTTTTTCTTGCCAGATTGTCTATGTTTCTATCGCCTTCCACACCAGGAAGCAGCCAATTGAAGCAGCTTGCATTGTTTTGCACCCAATGCCCAGAAATCCTGGCCAAGCTTTGAGGCTAGAGGTGAGGGGGCTGGAGGGGGATTGGCTGCACGACGTTGCTCTGTGTGTAAGGCTTGCTGGTGCGGCGTCCGATTGGACCTTGGAGATCATTGAGCCAGACACTATTGAGGCCCTCTCTCAGTTCATTGTCAAAGGCGCCCAGTTAGTGGACATGGGGAGCTTCCAGACTTGGCGTGGCGCCAAGAAGGAGCAGTCGATGGCCATGTCAGCCTTGCGCCTGTTGAGCCACCACCCTTCCAAAGGAAGGAAGAGAAAGGGGACAGCTGGTGAGAGGCCCTCTGGGCTGGTTCCGCCAAAGCGCAAAAAGAAAGGCCAGGAGAATCCCTGCAAGAGCAACAGCCACACCAGTGCTTCAGAAGCTGGGTTGGAGTCTGAAAATGAAGGCCCATTAGCAGATCTACCTGCAAGAGATGGCGTGTGTGAGTAGGCCCCATCATCAAGCTCCGGTTTGCAGGCCTCAGGCCGGGTTCTGCACAAGCGAGCCACTGATTGGGGGCCTTTCAAGATCTCCCCAATTTTCAGCCAAGGCAGGAAGACTGGCTGGGGTGCTATCTGTGGCAGGCACCTTGATGGTCTTCACATGGGCTCTTCAGGCTCATGCAAGAAGGCTGTGAGCCTGGGTACCAGCCTAGGGTTGACTGACGACGCGTGCGTCCTCAGGCTCAAGCGGTGGCTGATCAGCGGGCTGGACGATGAGCTGTGGCCAGCCACCAAGCGTGCCAAGCATGTGGGCATGGGTGGCAAGCATCTGGCTGCGTTCACACATGGTCTCTCTGAGAGCGAGCTGGAGAGTAGGCTGCCTCCAACATAGTTGGACGCCTTCGTACTTACTTGCTTGAAAGTCGCAAAACTCAGCTGCAGCAACCTTGCTGGATTTTTCTGTGTTAACTCTCACCGGCATCTGTGTTGAATGAATACATTGGGATAGTTTTCACGCAAATTTGATACATTTATATTTAAGTAGTTAATGTATATTTAAATTTAAAACAACATTTGCCAGAAGAATTGCTAAATGTTTTGTCTGAACAATTGTTGATGTCTTCTCGACGCTAACTCTTGGTTTCTCGACGCTAACCCTTGTTTTCTCGACGCTAACCTTTGTTTTCTCGACGCTAATTGTTTTGGCAATTGTTTAGGCAATAGTTTTGAAAATAGTCTTTTCATTTCTTGAAATACTTCAGTATAAGCACCTACAAAGATATATTTGATTTTGTTCAGTCCAGTTTGAACTTGTGAGGGAGTATCGCAGGCAATCTGACATGTTACACCTGAGGCCCTTCTGTCTTGTTGGCTCTTCTTTAGTTGGTTTCTGTTGCCTTGCTCCTGTGCCATGCCATGGCTGGTTCTGCCAGCTCATCTAGCTGCTCAGCTTCTGAGTCCGGAGCGCCTCCAGAGCCCAAGGCAAAAGTAGCGCATTCGGAGTGCCCAACCCATGTGACGGTGAGCAGCCTGCCGGTTTCCTATGCTCACTCCAAGGCCTGTCGCTGTTGTCTCTGCAACTCTCTCAGCACTGATGAGAGTCCTTTTGAAGACCCCAACCCAGAGACACAGAATAGACGGCCTTGGGCCAAGTACAGGCGCATGAAACTCGCTGACGGCACTTGGAGAGTGCCAGAAGGGAAGTGCTGCCTCCCCTGTTTCAACACCTTCCGTGCTTTAGGCCCGCTTGTTGCCAAAACTCGCCCATTTTCCGGTCGTTACCTTTTAAGTCTAGCTCTGTTGCCACATGGTACGGTACAGTCTTCTCTAGTGCCCATAACCTTCTTAACTTGACAGGCCTGCATGCTGAGTATGGCTCTTACTCCAGCTACTACAAGTTTGTGTCCAAGAAGGAGAACCAGAAGGAACACTCCAGCTTTTTGAAGGCTTTGGCCCAGTGGATCCAAGCGCACAATGAGAACCCTCAGGAATACAGATTGAGAGACACCAAGGCCTTGAAAGCAGTAAAGCAAAGCCTGCTCCTGGAGCGGACCCAAGGTGGCAAGTTCATCGCTCCCCGAATGAAATTTGTTGAGGAACAGCATTGGAAAGAAGAGCAGTATGGGAAACTGGACACCGCAAAGGTCGTTGAGGAGGAAATCCACGGCAAAGTTCGTAAAGGTGCTTGGGTGCGAGTTGGAGCTGAGGGTGAATGGGACTATGAGAACTATGAGGACAGAGCTCTGAAGGAGCAGACAGAAGAGCACAACGGAGAGGGTTTGTTTGCCAAAGAGGCTTTTGCACGCAAGCAGAAGGCTGCCCAGAGCGCCTTGGACAAGACGCACCGGGAACGTGAGGCAGCCGTGGCTTCTAGCCAGGTCATGGACACGAGCGCCCTGCTTGCCATCATTGCACAGTCAAGGAGCAGCAACGATGCCCCCACGGCAGACAAGGCCGCGGCCTCAGCAGCCTCGTCAAATTCAGATCATGAGGATGAGGAGTCTGACGATGAAGGGCCAGGTGCTACTGCTACCTTTTTTGGTTCCAAGCGCAAAGCAGGTGCTTCCAAAGCAGCCCCCAAAGTTCCAGCCAAAGCTGCCAAAGCCAAACAAACCAGCGCCCCTTCCACTTCAGCCAGAGGAGGCAAAGCATCGCAGACAGCGCCTGCTAGCTCCTCCAAGGCCTCCAAGGTTGAGAGCGCCCAGGTTGCAAAGAAGAACGAAGCCAAGTCTGTGTTGGTTGCTGCTGCTGCCGACGGCACAGCAGAGTCAACTATGGCTTTGGATGGACGCGCCCAAAGAACCCTTCGCACCCTCCAGAAGTCCTTGTCTGATCAACTAGCCGCCCTTCAAGCCATCAATGTCGATGACGGCCCTACGCCAGTGGCTACTGCAGCACAGGCCGCCTACAAGACAGACTGCAAGAAGCGCGAGGGCGAGCTGAGGAAGATCGCAAAGAACGTTAGGGAGGTGATCAAACGCGCAGAAAAGAGTACCAACAAGGACGCCTTTGGTGATGAGTTGACCAAATTGGATGAGGTAGGCCAGGCTGCAAACGCTCTTGCAGATTTGTTCTCAGTGATGCCGGTTCCATGTGCCCAAGCAGACTTGGTCACCAGCGCTTATGAGGCCGCACTTGTTTTTTTCACTGAGGAGTCAGCTATCCTTGCAAGCCAAACACTGGGCAGTGGATTTCGTTTGAAGTATGTCTTGGCCAAAGCAAGCTGTCACTTCTTCTATGAGGAGTACAAGAAGTTCTGTGATTGCTTCAAGGCAGAGGAAGAAGAAATCCAAGCTTTAGCGACGCTGGTGGGGCATGAGTCCTTGGAACAGCAAGCTGCGCTTGAGATGGAAGGTCGCCTAGTTTCAATGCTGCAAGGCATTCCTGAGCAGGAATTGCAAGACATGGATGCTGGCAAAAGCTTAGCTGACGATTCCCAGCTTGTCAAAACTTTGTCCCTGGCCAGGCTTGTCATGGACAGTTGTGACGATCAAGGGTTTCTTGCACGCAGCCTGAAAGGCGATGTCACTGTGGTTGCCAGCCTCCTGGACAGCAGCAATGTTCTCAAACTGGAAGCTGCTGTGGGAACCTTGAGCGAGGTTGCAACTGCATCTACAGCAAAAAAAGGCGCCTCAGAGAAAGCATTGATGACTCCAATACAGCGTTTCTTTCTGCAGTGCGCAGGGGGCCAGAGTCTTTATGCTTTGGCGTCTGCTAGAGTCACTGCAGGTGAGCAGGAATCAAAGTTTGAAGCTTTGGTTGTGGAGGCCGAAGAGCTGTTGAAGAGTTTCCCTGAGAGCATTCCTGCTGGCTTCAGCCAAGACCAAATGGCTGATAAGATCAATAGCTTCTTTGTCCCAGCCAACCAGAAAGTGGGCGATGTGCAGAAACAGCTCAAGCAAGCTGTGAAGGCTGCTAGCCAGGGACAAAAGGAGAGGCTTAAGGCCAGGTTTAACAGGCTCAAGGAGGATTTTGCAAAGAAGGTCACCCTACTGACCAAGACCTTTTTGGTTGACTCTGTGACTGAGGTGATGTGGCTTGGCCGACAATTATTTCAGATTGTATAATATTGTATATATAGTGGTTGGGAAACCCTTTGGCCCTTTGTTATGTCATGTCTTCGCAGTTTTTGTTTGCAGCAGGATTTGTCCAGGAAAGGTGTTTTCCTTCATGTGTGTAGGCTGTGGCTGTGGCCTCAGGCCTTGTTCTGCTTGAATTTAATTTAAGGCCAACTCGGGTCATTGAATTCCAACAAAAGGGTCAAGTTCTATTTTAATTTGCCTGGGTCTGCTCATCTCAGGGACATCCTGCGCTCAGCAATCGTTGCTGACTGCATCGTCGTTGTATCAGGGCAACGCAAGTTGATCGACCTGTCGCAAGCGTTCTCAGCTCTGCATGCTGAAAAGGTTGTAAAGCACCCCCTCCTTGCTGAGCTTCCCAACGCAGAGTGGCTGAAGCAATACGAAGGTTTTGTTGCCAAGTTGGTGGTTGCGGTTGAGATCGTGTTTAACAACCACCCAGCATTCAGCCACCTGCCCAAGAAGGACTTCAAGGTGGAAGTTGTCAAGGGCGACCTTGCAGTGTTGGTTTCCGAGCTCAAGCAATGGATCCAGGATGAAAAACTTCTTGTGAATATCAATGAACATTTTGTCAAAGCTTGTGGGACCTCACTTGCTACAGCCTGCGCTTCAGGTCTGCAGGCCGTCAAACATATGCTTGAGCAGGGCCAAAAGGGGGTTGCGGGCACAGGGATGTCAAGTGAGACTGAGTTGAACTTGTTGCAGAAGATACCTCTGGACAATCCATTGCGGCCTTTAGTGGCAGGCTTCTTGGAGGCAGGGTCTTGCTAGTGCGTGTGTACGTTCACAGTTCAGTGTTGCTTGTTCAAAGTCACAAAGTGTTTATTTCCAGGCCAAAGGACAGGGGGACAAGGTTTGGCGAGGTGTAGTTTCCACTGCTGCCCTGCATGGTGTTGAGAGGTGACATGTGTCGTCGAGGTATAGTTTCTTGGCCACAGTTTTTTGGTCGGGTTGGCCTGCAATGAACACCGTAACACCTGATAGGTGGCGAAGCATGTGGAGGCCGATGACAAGCTTGGAGGTGCTTTGCAAGACTTGCAGAGAAAGCTCGTCGAAGCCCAGAAAGTTGGAGAAAAGGAGCCGCAAGTCAAGGAACAACTCACTGCTTCTGGTTTTGCTGCAGCCGTCCCATGGTTTCATGACCTCGGTGCCAAGTTCGTGTCCAGGAGTCAAAAGACAGTTGATGACATGTCTGACGCCGTGCGTGTTCAGGGCAAAGCTGTGGGCAAAATGCTAGAGTCTTTGCCAGGCTTTGACAATGAGGACAAGTACCGTGGCAAGGGCTTGACGGTTGTGCAGAAGCTTGCTGCAGACACAAAGCAACTGTCTGAGAAGATAGAGAGCCTTGAAAATCATGTTGCAAGCTTGAAGGCTGCCGAAACATTGGACTTTGGATTGGGGCCTCTGGCCAAGTCAGCCATGGAGGGCGAAGAACTTGGCACTGAGGTGAAGACATTAAAGGGCATTTTGGCAACCGCTTCTTTGCATGTTGCGCTAGTGGCAGGCCTGTGTGTTCTGAGGAATCCCGAGCTGGGCAGTGCTTCTGCTCAGGGCAGCAAGGCGCTGAAGGAGTTGCGGCCAATAGTTGAGACCTTGCAGAAACATTTGGCAGAGTTGCCTGAGGGGGAGGCAGAGCTGAAACAGTTCACCCAAAAGGCGGTAGAGGAATGCACTGCTTTGCTTGCAGGCAAGAGGCCTCCAAAGAAACAACCTGGCGCTGAGACCAAGACACAGGAAAAGAAGGCCAATGAGACAGAGGAAGACAAGGATGAGAAGGGTCAAAGAAAAGACCAGGAAAAAGACAAGAGCAAGGACAATGACAAGAAGAAAAAGAAAGATAAGAAAAAGAAAGATAAGAAAAAGAAAGATAAGAAAAAGGAAAAGAAAGAAAAGAAGAAAGCCAAAGAGGCCACAGAAGAGGAAGGAGAGGACGTGGAAGAGGAAGAGGCCAATGAGCCGCCAGCTAAGAAAGCAAAGGCCCAGGCGCCAAAGGCAAAGGCAAAGCCCAAGGCAGCGCAACCCAAGCCAAAGACAACCAAAAAGGGTTGATAGGATCACATACAATGCAAATGATCTGGTCTTTGACCGTGCTTTGTTTTCAGCCATTGTGCCAATGGGCAGCTGTGAGTCTGAAAGGCCTGCAGCCTCCTCACACCGCTTCAGGTTTTGGAAAACAGTGCTGCTGCAGATTGGGTCTACAAGTACAAGGCAAAGGCAAAGGTAGCTTCAATTCAATTTAAAGTTAACTAACTGGTTCTTGTGAGTTTGGTGTTTTTAGATGTCAAACAACTAGAAGCTATGTTGTGCAGCAAGAGTGTCACACCTGCCAAACGCAAACACCGAGGCAGCATTGTTGCGCAATTAACCGACTCTTACAGCAAACATGATTCTAGCCTTGTAGAGCGGTCTCATGTCTACACCTTTTTTCAACCCTGTGCATGCTTCAGCCACAAGTTCTCAAACTTTGGTAGCTTTCTGCTATGTAGCAGCGCCTCTTCAAACTATGCTCGCAAAGCCACATGAGGCTCCTGGAGATGGTAGGCGCCTGAAAAAGAACGACTCTTGCGAGGAAAGCCGGCTGATGCTTGAGGCCTCTGGCCGGGTTGTCGATCCAGCAGCGATTAAGAACGGCTCTTTATTGCTAAGCCTTGCCGAAGAGCATATTAAGGGCTACTGGACACTTTTTCCAGACCAGGAGTTCGGACCGCAGCTGACTTCCACAGATTGCAAAATGGAGGAGTTGAGTTTGTCTTGGGGAAGCTGTTGCAGCGGGTCGGAAGGTGCCTTCTATGTCTTTGAAGCATTGAATTCAGTTTTTGAGTCTCATGATGTGCGGCTTTCTTTGCGACATAAGTTCAGCTGCGAGTCTCACCAAGACAAGCAAAAGTGGATCCAAGCAGTGGTGAAGTGTGGGCCTCTTGATCGTTCCCTTGATGGAGAAACCCTGTGCATTCCAGAGGAAGCAGGTTCACCTTGTATTTTTGCCAATATTGCGATCTTCACAAAGGTGTTGCCCATTGTGTGGTGCACAACAAGGATTGCGAAGTGCCACATCTGGATGTGCTGGTGTTAGGCACCAGCTGCAAAGACCTTTCGCGTATCAATCCTTCCAAGGTTCTTGGTCGACCTGTCCTCGAAATGTCTGGAAATGTCGACATCCAAGGGCGGCTCTGCTCAAACTTACCACGGTTTCATTTCCTATGTTCAAGCCATGCCACCGCTGTTTGTGTTCTATGAGAATGTGGATGCTATAGAGGACGCAATTGGGCCTCAGGCCGTGTCCAACATGGACATCCTCTTGAACCAAATGTCTGAATTAGGCTACGCTTCTCAAAAGATGATGACCGATGCGAAGGAATTTAGGCTCCCAGCCAGGCGGCGTCGTAGCTACGTCCTTTTTGTTCGGCAAACCAATCCATACTTGGATTTCTCGAAGCAAGGGTTGCACGATGCCCTAGCAACTTTCCGTCTGATGGTGGCCTCTTGTCTACGGTCTGCTCCTTGTGTCTCTGAAGTGCTGCTAGACAATGCAGATGATGACGAAGCGGCTGAGATAGCCGGTGGGCTAGAAGAACGACGGGCCCGAGTAGCTGCCAGCCAAGGAGCAGTCGTTGAGCAGGAGATACCGACTCCGAGATCCACAAAAGCTGCCCTGGCAACATGGTGGGAGCAATGTGCTTGCCTGACTCGGACAGTGTCCCTCCTGCAGCTCTCATCACGCTCTGTGACAAATTCCGGAACGCTGCCTGGGGCGCCACTGTCCTAGACAGGGAAAGAGAATCCTTCTCTCTTTGGCTCAAAGTATCATACCAATCATTGTCCTCAAGGTCTTCTGGTGTGCGTCCATCCCACCGCACCCCCAAATCTTGGCTGATCTTGAAGTGCTGCTCGGGCCACTTGTCGCAGCTTTGCGCATTTGGGGCCTTGGCTGCCCTCTTTGCTGCTGCGGCTTCCTGGGCCAGGAGGCTTTGCTGTTGCAAGGGTTTCCTGTCCGACCTTTTCTGGCAGCCCATGAGAAATTGCGAAAGAATGAAGCTGCTTCCACCCAGAGCAATCAGCCTCTGGCTGGGTCAACAAAGAAAAGGAAGAGAGAGGAGAAGGAGAAAACAATCCAGTTGGACATCTCTGAGAGCCTGATGCAGGACCTAGCTGGCAATGCTATGGCGTTGCCAGTCGTTCTCGGCATTGTTCAGTCTGCCCTGTGCTGTTTCAAGTGGAAACCACTGGTGGAGCCAGCCACTGAGGAGCAGTTGGATTTGGCCATGGGCGCCTTAGGTATCCTTGCGAGCCTTCAGGGCAAGTCTGGAAAGTGACCGAGGCTTTCACAGATGTTGCGGTGTGTGCTTGGCTGGGAAAAAGAGTTGCGAAGGGGTGTTTGGGTTCTGTTGGTGTTGGGCTGAAGCATGTGTGGCCCCTTGCTCGGCCCTGAGCGATGTTTGACTTTGTTTGTGTTTGTTTGGTTTGGGTTTCTGTGTGGCCCTCAAATCATCTCTTGCCTGCTTTTATTGTATCTCTCAATTCATTTCATTGATTCATTAATTATGTTCGTTGTCGCACCAAGCAGGTCAACCATATTTCATTTCTCTTGGGATTGCGCATGTTAGATTTTTTTGCAGAGAAAAACTAGGCATATATTAATGAAGCGTTGATGATGTGAGTCGTTGGGAGCACCCGGTCTTGAGCCCACCATTCCCTGGCAGGCATTTCGCCCTCCACTTCCCACAGCTCCACTGGTTGCCTGGGTGGGCTTTGTCCGATCGGCCACAGCGGCCCATTGCTTTGGCAGCCTCAGGCTGGTTCTGCTCGGCAGTCTTCCGAAAGTGGTGTGCCGTCAGCGTCGCTTGGAGGACTTGGTGGAGTGGAGCCTGCCAATCCCCCAACGCACGATGGGATTGTAAGGCTTGTGTGGCTTCAAACCGGGTCACGAAGCGGAGTGTGTTACTCCAAGGCTTCTAGCCAGGTTTGACCAGTGAGTAGTCACACTGTAGATGTAACATTGCGTCATCTTGTGTCATGCGGTGCAAAAAGGGCATTGGGCGCACAGGTGGTTTGGCTTTGATATAGGAACTATGCTGTTGGAGCAGCTGCAAGAATTCACAAGGGGAGTCCTCAATATCAATATAGATATCCCCTTCCAACAAGCACAGTTGAAGTTTGAGCAGTTTGTGTGTGACTGGAAAATGCAACCGGTGAGGTTGCAATATAGGTTTGCAACAGCGTTCAGGACATACAACAGGGACTGTGATATTGGCTTTCTATTTGTAGGCCAATATGGTTTTTCAATAGCAACTATTTTGAAGAAATTGTTTTTCCTATGTTGAGAAATTGAAACATTTGTCCAAACAATTGTTTCAAACAATTTTTGGCTTCAAAACAATTGTTGAAACAATTGTTGAAACAATTGCTCAATGTTTCGTCTATGTTTTTCCTTGTTGTTCATTGCCCCCACACCCCAGTTCTGAAAACATTTAAATCAAATCCAACAGGATCCCTATGATTCCAAGGGGTACACACACACACGCATCGTGGCGATGCGCTCAAGTACACCAAAAGGAGACAAGCTGGACATCATCAGTGAAGACTTGTCAGATGCACACTTTCCACGTGGCAGATTGAGGTCACCAGTCGACATGGGCATCTTCTTCTGCGGCTATCCTTCCATGTGTAACGAGGAGCGCGGCGTTCCAGATGAAGAACTTGCAGCGCAAGACCAAGAGCCAGAAGCGCAGATGTCCAGGAGCAATCCTATTCAGGAGGTCTTTGACGATGAGATCACCTTCCCCAATACTAGTGGCATTGATGGCTCAATCAAAGCTGCAGTGCCCAGAATGCACCTCTCTGTCCTCCGAGCTCATCAAGTTGCTGGCTTTGAACGGGATCGCAAGTGACCGTGTGATAAAGGCGGCAAAAACTATGAGCTGTGCCCCAATCCCGCAGCGTCGCCACAGTACGTGGGACAGTTCGCTGACAACTTGCAGGCGGACATTCTTCTACCTCAGGGACTTGACCGCGAAGAATTGAGAACAGCTTGGACGAGGAACTTCGGCTATCCCCTCAAGCGGTCAGGCGATGATGATGATGAAGAAGAAGAAGAAGAAGGAGCCTTCAAGTCCGACTTTCATGAGTTTTGTGATGCAGGAGGCGCCCACTTAGACTTCATGCATACCGCCTGAAAGCACATCACAAGTTGGGCGTCGTTGAACGCCACAATGGAACTTTGAGGATGCTGCTTGATCGTGGGTAGCGCACCATGCACTTTATTATGAGAAGATGTGGACAATGCCACTGTTATGCCATTGTTTCAGCAGCTTTACACGCCAAGATCTTGGCTACGTGGAGCGCTGGAACACCGCCTTACACAGCAGCCTTTGGCCGCATACCCAGAGTGGGCCTTGACTTCATCACGGCCCAAGAGCTTTGGTTGCAGGGTCCACCCAAGCAGAAGTGCATCAACAAGGGGCCCTGATGCGATGTGAGGCACTTGAAGCCTTGGTAGAGGCTCAGCTTCATCAGTGGCGGATACAGAATCGGCAGGTATTTGGTACGTGACCCGCATGGCTGCTTCTGGATTCAAAGCGGCAGTCAGACCACCAACATGACACCTCAGCGACTCGGGAATCCCCAGTTTTTGGTCAAGCAGACGTGAAAGCTCTCAAAGCTGCTCAGGACAATTTGAGTGAAGACATCTGGCGTGACGATCACATGCGCGACGACCTCACCCAGAAGAGCAGGAGGAAGATCAAGAGCTGCCACCACCAGGAGCCGCTCAGATCGAACTTCATTACGCTTCATTTCCTGCCTTGGATGCGCCTCGACTTGAACAAGCAGAGCCACAGGCTGAAGCAGTTGTCCTGCCGCTTGAGCCGCCCAAGAAGAAACCTATATTGCCTTCGATGGCTTTGGAGGCACCAGAAGTTGAAGAATCGCATCATGAACCACGAGATCCAGGAAGCCCGCACACCGTGATCAACTTGCAGCAGAACATCCAGAATTTCTTTCGCGGATCAAGGGCTTCAACTGCTATGCCTGTTCCCTTCACACTCACCAGGCGAATCAATGCGAATCAGATCAAGGGCGCCAGCCAGAAGATTGGCAGCGCCAGTAAGACGCCGCATCGGGTGGCTCACACCTCATGGCCTGGATCAAGCCCCAACTCAAGCGCCGCCGGATGGCCTTGTGGGCTTGACCAACGATGATCAGCCAGATTTGGGAGACATAGCTCCGACTACGCCTCCTGAGCCTCATGAACCAGGATACCGACATTGCCGGCCAAAGGGTCATTTGATATTTTTGACGCGCTTCTTCCCAACGCCACCTTCCTACAGGGCCACCCATGAACTACGCGCCATCGATGCAGTCTCAGGTGACATCCTCTTCGAAGGCATCTACGATGCCACGACCAAAGATGATGAGAAATGGAACTCTGGCGAGTTCAAGGATCTTGTCACTGTTACTAACAATCTCATACAAAGGGCCAGTGCGTTCTGATGAGTCCAGCTGACCCTGGAGAAATGCAGTGGCAACATCACCGCACCAAAGTCCTCCAGATCACTGGCCATTAAAGGGAGACGAGTAGGGAGACTCCTTGTATTGAAGAAATCGACTCAAAGTCGAAAAGGGACACCAATTAACTAGACACTCCCCTTCCCCGAGCCAGCGCCTGCATCGGCGCTGATCACTATTCGTTATGAAACTCCTGGCTCAGTCAGACAACTATGTTTCGCTCGATCAGCAGTTGCTTGCAGTGGTTGGCAGGGCAATCGAGGCCCGACATTGCGTCGAGCATTTTGTTGTCGAACCGTGGCCAGGAGACAACATACGTAAACTTGGACCACGTTTAAACAGCGGTGCCAGCTCGGCAACCGCCCAAGGCTCAGCAAGTCAGCGTGGCTGCCGCCCCGGCGAACGTATCGGAAGCATTGTGTTTTTAGTGCGATCTGTGACTGGAAGGAAGTCACGTCGCTCCTAGCGCGTCTCAATACAGATAGCAAGAGCTTGTTTGACAGTGCGGCTTCTCCCAATCCCACTGTCGAAGACAAGAGAAGCCTGGTGAAGATCAGGTGGATCGAGGAGGTGATGAACAAGCATGCTCATTGGGTGCCCACATGGTTGCAACAGGCAGACAGCCTACAAAGATCTCGGGCTGGAGCGCATTCAGTGGTTGCAGCGACCGCTGATTCTGTTGAGGGAGTTGGCAATCAGGTCAAAAGAAAATACACGTAATTACAGAACATGTGTGAAACTTAGGCCGGAAACGCTACGGGCCCATTGACCTTGATGGCATGTCAGCTCACGGTTCTCGCGGGCAAAGGATTCCCTCTTTGTGGAAAAGCGTTGCGCCACGATGGCGTGTGGTCGCGTTGTTGCATCGTCCCCCACGTTCCATTGTACGTGGGTTGGCTGTTCCTTGGGTGAGCCACATTGGTGATTTGAATCGTTTCTCACTCACGTGCCTTCAAGTGAAGGACTTCGTTCCCAACACCTCTACTCATTGCGAGTCAGACGGGTCATGTGTTTTGTTGCGATGTTCATTGGCTTGGCTATGCTTGGCTCACGTTCGCTCACTATCCTCACCAGGGACCAGTGATGGCACAATCCTTATGCCTTCATAGACAAGGGCCAGGGCAATCCAGGTTGATAAAGCCTTTTTTGTTTTCATTCATTGTCCTTGTTGACCTGGGCCAGGATAGTGTTCAAGTTTCTGTTTTCTTTAAAGTATAGAGGCTGGTTAGATCAGGATGTCAGGTCAGCAGACGTGCGCTTTAGATCACCTTATCATAGGCTCGGAGGTTGGGGGTTTTAATCTTGGTTTCTCCGGCGAAACCGTTTGCAATTTTTGGCCTTTTGTGACCTTTTAGAGTGAACCTCTTCCATTTTGTTCCTGTGGCTTACCTAGGCCAGCGGAGTCAGAACTATCTTGCAGATTCAGAAATAACATGTTGTGGAAAGCTTGGGCTCACAGGTTTGCGTTGCCATTCTTGGTGCGTTTGCTTTTGTAATATGCATTTCAGCAGGGGTGAAAGATCATTGGGGACGGCTAGCAGCGTCCTGGTCACATCGGAGTTGGCCACTCTGACTTACCTGCAGCAACATGCCTTTTCAAGGTTTGTGTTCGTAAGGTTCAGGTGAGGATGCTAGGCCGGCAGGCAGGCATTTCCGATCTCTTGCGATTGTTGTTGAGCTTGGTAGCATACTCTTGAGTTAAGAAACCAGGAGTAAGAAACCAGGAGACAATTTGTATTTGCGACGGTTCCAGGTCGGGATACAGTAGAGTAGAGTAGAGTGCGAATGAGTCCACCGGCTAGTTTCTGTCAAAGCTGCTGTGCTTTGTCACTTGTCATTTTGGGAAATTCACGTTTGCATGAAATGGCGTTGTATGTTCATGTCCTTCGTTACTGACAAGACCGGATTAATAATCCCCCCCCCCCCACATGGTAGGTCAACAAGGTCAACAAGGAATGAGATAACCACTCATGAGGTCCACTCCCCCTGAATTATCGGCTCAGGGAGCCATCGTAGTCGCAGTCGTCGTCGGTAGTAGGTAGTAGCTAGTAGCTAGTAGGTAGTAGCTAGTAGGTAGTAGTAGGTAGTAGGTAGTAGGTAGTAGTAGTAGGTAGTAAGTAGTAGTAGGTAGTAGGTAGTAGTAGGTAGTAGTAGGTAGTAGTAGGTAGCAGTAGGTAGCAGTAGGGTAGGTAGTAGGTAGTAGGTAGTAGGTGGTAGTAGGTAGTAGGTAGTAGGTAGTAGGTAGTAGGTAGTGGTAGTAGGTAGTGGTAGTAGGTAGTAGGTAGTAGGCAGTAGGTAGTAGGTAGAGTAGTAGTAGTAGTAGTAGTAGTAGTAGTAGTAGTAGTAGTAGTAG